GATTTGTACAAATCTTCAACCGCTCCAGTGGTAATAATTAAATTTAGATCTTAATCAGTCCGATATCACTTATGTACAGTCGAGGATTTGGAGTCAGGTTCATTGCTAAGTCAAATCACTCACAAGCAAGGGAGCGATTCTTACGGTTGGCGATCATCGAATGAGCACTAGTGGTAGCGAAGCTCCTAAGAAATCGTCCAAGGAGGGCACCTCACATCAAGCGTGAGTTTGTAGCTGTTGGATGAAACCTGCTAGCTTTCCGTACTCTAGTCCTTTGTCGTTCAGGCTCCGTTTCAATGCATCTGTTCTGATGTTGAGCTCACTGGGATTCGCTCAAGTCGTAGCGCAGTGGCTTGTCGTAAAAGCTACGATGATCATCGCTCAAGTGCTCATTCTTATCTTGTGTGCTTTTTCACATGAGGTTAGTTTCATATGATCCAGTTGGGAGTTGTGTGACCGTTAGTCCAAGAATTCCAAGAGAAGATTAAGAAATACTGCTATAGCCTAGTTAGTGTGATTGGAAGGGAGACGACATTAGGGAAGAGCCAGCTTCTCCAGGCCTAAGGGTCAGCCCATGGGCAATGTATCTCCCACTCGCACATGTACCAGGACCCAGCTGATCTTAAATAGCTATTCTATAGTGTGAAAAGCCGATCAATATATAGTTGATATCGTCACAATCAGTCGGGCGATGTCAGGAGGGGCGGAATGAGCACGCCTCCTTCTGCCTTGCTCTACCAGTGGCGATCGGTTGTTGATCTACTCAAAAAGCAATCCATCCCTCTCTAAGGAGCCCCGACTGCTTGCGACGATATTAATGGCAAGCAAGCAATAGCAATTTTCTGCGAGTTATTGGCGTCGTGACTCGAAGGTCCTAAACCCCATAAGAGTCTTTTTGAAAATTTCTTCAACTCTATTTCTCAATTTATTCTATTACTCAATTTCTTCAAATTTGACTTTACAGTGGAACTTTGTCCACGGTGAAGCACTGACGCGACATCGTCGGGCACATTTTAACATCGCCAACGTTCTCGAAACCTATCAGCCTCGAGCCAGGACAGAAGGTCATCTGTTTCAGGTAAGTCCCCCACAAACTAGGAAAAAACTTTTTAGCTTGCTAGCACGGTAGGTCTAGTGGTAAGCCAAGATGTATAGGGATGTATAGGCACTCTCTGGCTCCTTGGTAAGCGAGGCTTAGTTTGACTCTTCCCAGAGACAATATATTTTGCATTTCAGCCAGAACCACCGACACCTGGTTTTGTGGCAGTAGTGAGTTCTGAAGAAGACGGCAAAAAGACTGCTTTCACTGACCAACGTGACGCGGTCAGCCAATCGCAACTCCATCCATAGTACTATTTCCAAGAACTTTTCTATTTCAGCACTATGCTGGAATGTACACGCATGCGTTGCAGAGGGCTAAAGAAATGGAAATGATGGATAGGGTAAGGAACTCGAGATGAGTACAGTTGATATCGTTAGGAGGGGCCGTGGCAGGAGGCTGAGCTCACACGCGGTGTCTCCTACCACTGGTTGTTTTCTCCTTGAAAGGATCACTAACCGCTTACTATTGGTAAAAAAGCAGCGGGGGTGAGCTTGTTCCACGCCCCCAACGTGCACATGGCACGACTTGCACCGCCGCGTCGTCACAATGTGGTTCTCCAACACGGCATCACTAATGAAATCAGTTCTTCCAGAGTGTCGGCGCATGTTCATCTCTGGACGCTGCTCAACTTGAAAATGTCCAATTGAAGCCGGCTAATCCGGAACAAGATAAGAAGGAGCATGAGGAGAAAAAGAAGAAGGAAACTGAAGAATATCTCAAACAGTTTGAAAAACCATTTTCGTGTTGAGGCCCTGATGCTTCTTATATATCAAGATTTTCGCATCAAATAAGATACATACCTCTGAATAAAGAATTGTGTGGCAACTAAGTTACCGGGTAAACACTGTCTTTCTGAGCTATCATAAGGCCACTGAATGAGAGCAGAGCATCAACGTAGCTGGTACGCGAATACGCCTGGTGTTACTGGTACCCTCTTTTTTTCCGAGCCGTGTTTTCAGTTGAGTAGCAGATTTAACAAATCCAGTGTGCCTCAATGGCACTTGGTTTCGAAGGTGAAGTTCCATAACCGGCGCCATGCTATTTTCCCGTCTCTTAAACATTCAACTTTAAACGGCCACACAGGACCCCTCGTCCGTCGCCACGCCTACCAGCGTGGTATTTTGCGATTGCCTTGTCACATAATGGAGGCGACTGCGCATCTGCGAGCAGTTGCCGGCTCGAAGGGGTCAGAGTCTGGCAGATTACTTGTAGTGACTACTAGGTTCATACCGTCTGCGACAGCCAACCCACGCCGCATCAGCGAAAACAGTGCTCACGAAGTTACCCTGACAACTAAAACTTTCAGTGGGGGTCCCACCGCGAAAGATCAAAGCGCAGAGAAAAAAAACTGCGTAGCAGGGCAGAGAGGTACAAAAAAACGTGTCACAAGCCGAGAGGTTTTTTGAATGGAGAGGACATTGGGGAGGACAAGCCATTCATAGTTGTTCATTTTTATTTCGTAAAATTGGTAATCCCCTTCATGGTGCCACCTCAACGTGGTGAAGGGGTGAACGTTCTCTCTGGAGAACGGCCAACGGCACCGACGGTCACGCAGTCTAGGAACTGGACGGGCGGCTCTGGATAGCCCCGGCAAGGCACTTCAGGAGTATTCGACCGCTCTATATGCTACGACATTTGCTAAAAGAAGAGAATCGGCCCGGATTCAGATATGCTCTCCCACGACGCCCGGAGACGCCGCTACTGATGAAGGAAGAGATTTGGTACTGGGCGTCAACGGCCAACCTCGCTTACGACGACGACGCATGAATGATTACTTAGACATCTGTACGTATAACTGTCGAACGTTATCTATGGAGGCAAGCTTGAGAACCCTTCTTCACCAGTCGAGGAAAATTAGGTACGACATCATATGTCTACAGGAGACAAAGGCGAAGGAGGCGTTTACAAGAAAGATGGATGAGGGACAGCTGCTTGTGATAGGGCAGAAGAATCTCGTGAGAAACTCCGGAGGGGTCGGGTTCCTTGTGAACCGTTCCATCGAATCGAATGTACATTCACACGAAATCCTCAGCCCTCGGATCGCACTGCTGCGTTTGAAAACGAGACAGAAGGCGATGATCAGCATCGTAAACTGCTATGCCCCCACGAACTCAGCGGATGAAGAAGAAAAGGATGCTTTCTACCATGAGCTGGAGGAGGTAGTCAAGAGAGAGAAGTCTTATTACAAGTATTTATGCGGAGACTTCAATGCTGCGCTTGGAAATGGAAATGATGGCAACTGGAGGCTCGGCAAACACGGAGAAGGAAATAGAAATGATAATGGTACTCGTGTTCTGGATCTTGCGTACTCTTGTAATCTCTATCACGGAAACTCTCTTTTTGACAAACCTCAAAACAGGAGATGGACCTGGGAAAGTCCTAACGGAGAGCTTCACTTGGAACTGGATCACGTTTTCACAAACAGAAGGTGGAGCCTGGTGGATGTGACGGTGCTGCCCTCTTTTGACTGTGGATCTGACCATCGCCTAGTCAGAATGACTGTTCGGCTCAATGACCAGATATTCAAAAGAGACACACACCGTGGACCCCCAATCCGCTTCCCACGATACAACGAAGAAGTTCTGGAAACAGCTATGAATAACCAATCCTGGAGGTTGCTAGAAGACGTCACAAAGGATTATGAGATGCTTAATAGCAACCTCCTTCGCTGTGCGGAAGCTGCTACGGAGAACCAAGTGGCGAGGACGGAAAGATTGAATGCGAAGGCCAAGGATCTCCTCCGACGCAGAGGAGAACTCAGAAGAGATCCTACAGTCACGCATCTGGAGAAGTCGATTGTCAATAAGGCATGTCGTTTAGCTGTCAAAGAATCTCTAAAGGAATACCGGAAACAAAAGCTGATGACAGCAGCAATGCAGAGGAAGAGCTTGAAATGCTGCCGAAAAGATTTGGTGGACTATCGCACTGAAACGACATGCCTCAAGGACAATCAAGGACGGCCAACGACTTCGAGACAGGGAGCCAGGGCTCGAGGGGGGCATTGTAATGGAGCTTTTATACAAAGCTAGTACCGGTTCAACGACAAGTTGTTGCGGCAAGGTCGGGGCAAGGTCGCCGTGCCCTGCAAATGACGAGATTCCACCAATTCTAATCTCTGAAGTGAGGAACGTGATCGAGTCATTAAAAATTCAAAAGGCACCTGGACCAGACGGTATATCAGCAGAGCTTTTGAAAGCAGGAGGAATCACAATGCAAAAGGTATTAGCGGAACACTTCAATCACTATTTGAGAAAAGGTGAGATAACTAACAATAATAATAAATAACTAAATAAATAATATAGTTGGTTAATAATAGCGATGGCGAGCTATTAAGTGGAGGCACTCTCAAGCATTGATGTGTGTTGAATTGGGATTAAGTTGAGGCTAAGCTATAGCAAGGCAAACGGGCGGGCATTACACGCTAATGGTTTCAAAGGAAATTTAGGAGACCGGCCGCCTGGCCGTTGCTAGCGGCCGCTTTAAATAACTAACTAATCGGCTAATGATCGCGTTTAGCTATGAATCAATCGGGGGCTATGACCGACAAGGCAAGTGCTGTATACGACTTGAGAAAAGAAGCAAAGAATCTAGGCCTTGGCTGATCAACCGAAAAGGAGAAAATGCTTCCAGGAAGGGAAGTATACTCGGTTTGCGTAGGGATGAATTTGGGGGCTGGCTATAAGCGAGCGATTGCAACTTTGGGGGCCACCCGCTGGCTAATGGGCTTTGCCATTTTTTCCTTTCAATCGCGGTTTGCAAGGGCACGGAGGTGAACGTAAGAGAAGCTTTGGTAGGAGGTATTAATTTCGGTTGAGTTTAGCAATATAGTATTAAGGCTTATTTTTATTTGAGTGCAGCTTGGCGGGTTGGTAGGGGTTATTTTGCCGATTTCTTATGGCTACCTGTGGGGGCGCGGTACCCGCATGCAATTGGGGCTGTATATTCGCAGGCGAGGGCTTACTTTTGAGCAGAGTCTTAGCAGGGCTGCATCACCCCGGTGAGAATTGTAGTTTTGCTACAAGGCTGCAAGGCATAAAACACCTAGCGAACCGTGGCAGAAGTTGGGGGCGCTGCGGCCCCAAGGGCCGAACCGCGGCCCTGTGTTGATCGTTTATACGCCAGAGGTATGTTGGGCTCCGACAAGGGGCTGAGCACTTCGTCGAGGCTAAGAGCTAATTATCGTGCCACGTAAAGCCAGCTTCTTTGTTAATCAGGGACTGGCGCGCAGAGTATAACATGGCAAGGCAGGGCTTGTACTCTTGGGAGTCAGCCACGAAGGCAAGCTAGCGTTTTCTAAGGCTGCTTTAGACAAACATCTGCACATGGCATAATAGCCGTTTTCAAGCAGCAGTTCGGTTGGCTAGCTTGTTTGTTGCATTGTTTTGCGCTGCTCTTCGAGGGGCTTGCATGGCGGTTTTATACTGAGTTTTTTTTTGCACGCTCCTGCAGAATTTTGATAGTTGGTTTTATTCCTGTAGCGGCAATGCAAGTTTCTAGTAGTTAGCTGTTTTTGGCTGGTTTATTTGGGTTCTGGTTTTGTTGTATCGATTTTTGCCTTACTTACAGCCAGGCACAGGATTAGCCTGTTGTAGTTTAAAGGGCAATTACAACAATTATAATTTTTATTACGTGTGAATTGCCAATGTGGGTTGCAGCGCTTGACCGCTTTCCGCAGAGTTCTGCCAAAGAATCAAAAAGTTCGGTGAATTATAATAAATTATTTTTAGGGGGCTGCTCACAGATAAAAAGGTTAGGGCAGTTGGGCCAAGCGCTACAAGGTCGACCTCGCGGCAGATTTTCAGTCAGCGCTATAACCTAAGGATGGCTAGGATTTAGGCAGCCGCCAGGCGACGCAAAGTAAGATGTCAGGCTGCGATGTTAAGGCTTGGGGGCTTGCGTCTCGCGATCAGAAATATTGGCGCATCTCTCGTTGAAGAGAGGCACGTTCACTAGTATGCTTTTACTAAGTTTATGTCCAACATCGGCGTTCTCAGCCTTGGTTCAGAATCAAGACTAACAAAGCTGGCTTTGCAGGGCAGGATGTATGCCATATGGCGCAAGTATGTATAGGGCTGGCGGCGTATTCTATGCCGAAGCGCGCAGGCGTAAAGAGCACATTGCATTTGTAGAATATTTCCTTATTTTTTTTGAAATAAACTGCCAGGTGCGGCTTGTGTGGAACAAGACATAACTCGCAACTGTCGGCCGGGGCAATACTCGCGGCCAAAATAGTGGCAGCAATTGAAGGCACTAGCCACAGCCCCTCCAGCCTCGAGCAAGATAAGCGTGTTATTGGTTGTGATGAATTGAAAAGGGCGAGCGTGGCCCCGCAAAATTCGTCAAGCGTATCTGCGAAGTATCTTGAAGACCCTCTCGCCTGCCGCACTAGGCCAATAGTTGGATGTTGTGTAAACAAGGCTCCAGTGGGCATTATCACTACGAGGGCGGCATTCAAAACATTGCCCGGCGGTGCGGGTAATTGAGCCGTAACGAAGGTATTCAAATCATTTCCTGGCGGGCAACGGGCAAGGGCTTCCTGAGGGTACACAATACAAAATTTGCATTGCAGTTATCGCATCAGTGCTGTTTTAGCTATCCTTGTGAAAGTAGATCACAACAACGACTGATTGGCAACGTTGGGAAAATGACTAGTGATTAAAAAAACCAGAGAAAAATGAAAAGAAAGTGAGGAGGATGATTAGTGACTAGGCTTGCTTGTTCTTCCAACGCTCAAAAAAAATCTGGCGCGTGGAAAACGTCCCCTAGGCGATGAAGTTTAGGTGAAGGCGTCAATAAACGCAGGCATTTTGGGAAGCAAGGAAGGAGAGAATATTTTGGCTTGCCGGGTTTTGAAGAGGTATTTTCGAGCAAGGGCAAGTGTGTTTTGAGCGTAAAGTGAAGGACTGCGTTGGAAAGGACCTTTTTTGTTTCTGCGAGAAGGCTTCTGGGCGCTTTTCATTCACAGGGCTATACGGGGGGGTAAAAATGAAACAGGCTCCTGCGCATATGGCTTCACCAAGTGAAGTCTTCTAGATGGCGATCCAGCGGTTATGGGCGCAAAAGATATTGCTCGCAACATTGTGGAATATTTATTTTTATGCCGGGTTGAGGGGAGGCATTGCTACCTGAAGGCAGCCTACAAAATGAAGCGGCTGTAAGTAAAATGAATAATTCCGAGAAGTTGATCGGGCTTTCTGAGAAGCGTGGACTAGCGGATGGTTTCGCTGCAGGCAGGGCGGCCAGGCGGCAATTAAGCTTTACTGGTTCGGCTAAAATTGCTGCCACTGAAGGGGAAGGGTTATTGAAGTGGAAACCGTTCGCATTGATCATCTTAGTACTTATGAGTAAGTAACGCTCCTAAGTGGTTAAGGGGGGCCACGATGTGGGGCGCCAGGTAAATGGTCTACTATAAAATTTCTTTTTCTAATCTAATTTTTTCGGCAGAGATTCGGGAGGGAATCAGCAGAGAACTATGCATAGCTTGGCGCTAGTTCCCTTGCATAGGGAAGAAAATGTGCAATAATGACGCGAAGCGATGTGTGTCCATACAATGGTAATGAGCAAACAGTTACATTTTGAGTAGCCTGGGCTTTTGCAGCAGCGGCAATCGAGTGAACACTCTGGAGACGGGTCAAGCGTGAATGAGTGAAAGTGGCGGTGTTGAGTGGGGCGAACTAGACCATCCGGCCTTGCGCAGAAAATAAAAAAACTGCTGCATATGGGCTAGACGCCGCTATTATCAATATGCTGGCCACAGCTAGCTGCGTCGTCGCTATGTCTTCCGGGGCATCATCGGCTAGTACCCGCTCTTTCGCTCGAAAGGCTTCAGATTGTTCGCCTTTAAAAACGGAGGGCAACTAGATCAGAGGGAGGTCGCTCCACGGCAGTGCAGGAGAGAAATTCTTCTAAAGGGCAACTAAGGCGATTCACCTAATCATAAGCTGCATAGTAAATCTGCGGCGTTGGCGAAGCAGGCAGATGCATAAAGTGGTTATGCTCTGCAAACTGATAGGGGGGCGTGGTTGGATGGCGGCAGCTAGATCACGCTTTCCCTCGCAATGGTTGGCGGAGCGCGCACAATGGCATTCCATTGATGGATACCGTTAGGGCAACTGCAGCAAAGCCGCGGTGCACACACGGGCCTATCAGCTTGCAGGGATCGGCGACTGTAGGTAAAGCCGCATGCTGGAAAAATTATGGGCTTGCCCTCTGCGGTAAGCCTGATGCACCAGAGGGCCGCAAAAAGACGAGGATGGTTTGCGTGCCAGTAGTTGGGTTATCTATTTTCGTTTGACCAGAAGAAGCAGAAAAGACTGTGATGAGGACAGAGACAACGTTGGCGGTGGGCGAGTATCTGCTCGTGTGGGCGGACCAGAAATGGATGAGTCGTTAAAGCATGCAAGCTATTGGCTTCGCAATTTGCAAAGTACATGCGAACGGGCGTAATAGAATACGTTTGAGGTACTGCAACGGCGATGAAATTGCTGGCCTGGTTGGGGAATTTTTGGGGCGGAAAGAAGCACTTTGCAGAACTGGTGACTTCTGTGAACTGCCGGCATTATATAGGGGGGCGATGAAAGCGGCAGGGCTAGGCGCCAAGGTAGTTTGATGTTAAGCATAGGCTCTGGAATATAGTTTCTAGCCGTTGAGATTTTTGTTCGTTCTGTACAGGCAGGGCCATAGCTTGACTTTTTCGTGTGTAATTACAGAATCTAATCCGCCCTTAACTACGGCTTTTCAGCAACAAGTTGCAGGGGATGTTTAGGATTGAAGACATGAAGTTGAAACCAGGCTGGTTACTGTTATAATAAAAGAAAATCGCAGGAAGGACCAGTTGTGAGCCCTCACGTCGTTGACGGGTCCTCTCGCCCTATTATTGGCCCCCTAATAACCGTGTTATCCCAGCGGCTGGTTTCAATTTGTGCGCTTGAATGTGCGATGAAATGACCTCTCGCTTGAACACTATGTGTCCTTTGGGGGGTGGTGAACCCAACCCCCTTCTAATGACCAGAACCAGAACTCGATTTGC